AGTCCATATGTTTGTCCTTCTTTATGGCTGCATAATATTCTGTTGTGTATATGTACCACATTTTTAAAATCCAGTCCAGCTTCGATGGGCAACATGGGTTGGTTCTGTGTTTTTGCTATTGTGAATAGAGCTATAACAAACATACATGTGCAGGTATCTTTTTTGTAGAATGATTTGAGTTCCTCTGGGTATATTCCCAATAGGGGAATTGCCGAGTCACATGGAAGGCCAATTTCTAGTTCCTTCAGAAACTGCCACACTGTCTTCCAAAGAGGCTGCACTATTTTGCATTCCCACCAGCAGTGTAGAAGCGTTCCTTTTTCTCTGCATTCTCACCAGCATCTGTTGTTTTTTGTTTTATTAATAATACAGCCATCCTTTTTAAAAAAAAATTTTTTTTGATCCATGGTTGATTGAATCTATGGATGCAGAACCCATGGATACAGAGGACCCTGTTTACATGTATGAGTGCATATGTATTTAACCTTAAGTTGTTAGCAGTTCTGCTACACTTTCTCTTTTTAGCTTTTTATTGAAGTATATATACATATAGGAATGTATACAAAACCTGAGGGTATAGTTCTGTGAATTTTGCAAACTTAACCATATCTATATAACTAACTGTTCAAGAAATAGAAACTTACCAACACTTCAGAAGTCCTCATTGCACCCTTTTCTGGTTACTGTTCTGACCTCATGGGTAATCTTTATTGTACTTCTAACATCATATATTTAGTTTTGCTTCCTTTAAAAATTATGTAAGGAATCACATAGTATATGCTCTTTTGTTTCTGGCTTTGGCTCACATTAGATGATGAGATTCCGATTATGTAAAATATATAATAACTTATTTAAATATTTTATGGTTTGTGACTATTTAATTAGTTTTTAGTTCTTGCCTATTTTGATAGTATGCTACAAACATTATAGTACATTTCTTTTGGTAAGTATATGTACACACATGTCTGTTGGGGTTAAGAGTGGTCAAAGAGTTGTATATGTTCACCTTTAGTAGATAACTCCAAACTGTATTTCTGAATGGTTGAACCACTTTATACTCTAACCAGCAATGTAGGAAAGTTTTCCATTGCTCTCCATCAAACTATGGTCTGCTGCCAGTTTTTGTACAGACCATAAACAGAGCATGGTTTTATATTTTAAATGATTTGAAAATGCAAAAAGAAGAATGCTATTTTGTGACTCCTGAAAGTTATGTGAAATTTAATTTTGAGTTTCCGTAAGTAAAGCTTTATTGGAATATAGCCAAGCTCATTCTATGCTTTTTCTGTGGCAGTTTTTGTGCTACAGTGGCAGATCTGAGTAATCATGACAGAGACTCCATGGCCCACAAAGTCTAAAATATTTCCTATATGGCTCTTTTTAGAAAAATTTGCTGACTTTTGCGCTACATTCTTGCTGTATAGTTTGTATTCTCAGTCTTTTTCATGTTAGCCATTCTTGCAGGTGTGTAGTGCTATCACATGGTGACTTTATTTGCAGTTACTTGATATCTGATGTATTGGCCAGCTTTTGACATAATTATTGGCCATTGGATATGTCATTTTTGCTTATTCAAGTCTTTTTAGCCCATCTACCTATTGTCTATTTGTCTATTACTTATCTATTTCTTAATGATTTTTTAGAGGGATTACAGTAAAAAAATATATGCTGTGGATGGATATAAGTCCTTCTTGGAGACCAGTCTCCTCTACCCTCCAGTCTGTCTGTGGCAAACATTTTCTCTCAGTTCATGTCTTCCCTTTATATTATCTCAATAGTATTTTTATGACCAGATGCTGTTACTCTTTTAAAGAAAGAAATTGGAAATTTCTTAAAGATATTTAAAATAAAAAACTGGTAAGAAGAAAAGATTTACACACTTATAATCTAGAGTCATGTGATTTGTATTTGTTAAAGGTAACTTATTATTTTACACCTGCTTCATTGTTGAAAAGCAAAACAGGATTTGACCTTAAAATTTGGGGGAACTAATTAATTTATTTGTTTAAGAAAATTATTTAAAATATTCTGAGCTGGGCTCGGTGGCTCAGCCTGTAATCCCGCGCCTTTGGGAGGCTGAGGTGAGTGGATTGCCTGAGCCCGCGGGTTCG